ACTTATTCTCTGCTCTACTTTCTTATCAACCGCCCAACACTATGAACCATACATCATAGCTGGCCACACAATTTCATACTAAATTTAAAAACTATAATTAGTATTTATTCATATATTATATTTTAAAATCAAAGAACTACTACTAATCAGGATATAATTAAAGAAATAAGAGTTGATGTTGCTTTTGGAATAATCCACCAATTGATCTATAATAGACTATTAATAGACATAAATAATATAAAATCAAATTTACCTTCGTTAAATATCAAACATGAAATTATCATAAAAAAATATATCAATTGCCAGTTCTAGAATAAAATAAAATTATCTATTAGATTTCAATAAAGTACTATATATAATGTGCATTACTCACCTCCATTTTAGGCCTCTTAATTTTACTAAATATTATATTCTGAATAACTAATGTAAAATTCTTTTTTTAAAAAGGTGTATATATATATATAAGACAATTATGTGACATAATTTATTGTTTTATGATATTCTTCAGTTAAAAAACATTATTTACTTAATTATTTTAGTCAATCTATTCATATACATGTAAAAAAAAGGGGCAAATCAGAATTGATATAAGCAAATTTTTAATTTAATAAAATGTGTATTTTCAATGTTATTTTATTTATTATAAATATAGTATACATTATGTTCAATGTTATGTTACGCACTTTATGTTAAAAATATTTAAATATTTGTATTCTATACGTAAATAATACTTGAAATTAAAGAGAAATGTCTTTTGTGTAAAATTTTAACTGTTTTTTGTGTTATTATAATTTTTTATGCTTATATTTTAACTAAAACGGTATTGTCTTAAAGGAAGGGAAACGTACACCATTTAACCATCCTCTCTTTTAGATGATAAATTACAATTTCAATTTTGAGACTAAATACTCAAACCCTATTATAGCTTTAACACTTCACTTGTAAACAACAGATTTATTTAAAGAAGACGTATATTTGATATTAATATATTTATTTTAAAATAGAGTGACGTTATTATTTCATATTTTTAAAATAAGTATGAGCAATACTTGAATTGAAAACTTACTGGAGGTAAAAATACAAAAAAAAACCCAGCACAGTGGGGTCGCGGCATAGTGGGGATGTTGCATAGTTGGGTCCAGTATAGATTTAATCTGACAGTGATTAAAATCACTATCATAAGAAACGCTTCGATGCAAATCAGTAGATAGTGTTTAATTCTAAGAAATTGGTGGATAATTACNAAAAAAAAAAATAAAAAAAAAAATAAACACATCATGGTAAAATTAATACCTTCTCAGCTTCGCATCGAAGCTAAAAAAATGTAATATTTTATCTTAGATGCAACGCTTAGAAAATATTAACTTTAACATAATGTGTTTATTATTTTTTTTTTTGTGTCTGTCACTATTTCTTATCAGCTCTCACTGAACCGATTTTACGCTATTTGACCTTATATAAATAAGATATAAGATTTTTATCTATACTTTTTTATACTGCATTGCATAAAAAATTAAATGTAAGGTCATTTTAGAATTATCCGTATACAATGTATGTACAATATTACAAATATTAAAAAAAAAAACCTCTCATGTAGCTAAGGGTCCCCTAGTATACATTAGGGTGTCCCTTATTTATAGAATTAAAAAATTACAAAATGCCACCGGTTAAAATTATTTGAATACATGAAAAAATAAATTGTACAAAATTTGAAGACTATTGGTCAACTCTAAGACGTGCCCGAAGGGGGTTTAATATAACCCCTCAAAGGTGATTTTTTAGTTTCTTTTGTCTATCTCAAAAACTTTAACTCTTGCAAAAAAGTTTATTATTGAAATTTTTGTAGGAATACAATTTTTTTATAAAATGTATATGTACAAAAATGTTTGAAAAGTTCTTATTTAGCTCTAAAAAAATAAAAACCTATATGTTCTATTTTTACCTTTAAAATTATTAATTTATAAATCGTTTATTGTAGAAACAAAAAAAAATTCATTTAACCATTGTTTTAAATTTAATTTTCTATACATTTTTAATTCGACATTTTTCTATTATTTACTATTCAAAACCTACAATTTTTTTTATTTTAATTATATTAAAATTATGCGGTTTTTCTTAGTATCTTCATAGCTTATAGAGCCATAAAATTTATGTTGTTTATAGGCTAATAAAAAAGTCATTTTCAAAATAATGCTATTGATTATTAATTTTAAACACTTGATTGTCTTGTTTTATCTGGTATTCTTGAAAAGATGAGCCTACGTATATAACCAACTAAAATTTCGCCTTCCAAGATTGCATGTCATCTAGTAATTGAAAAGTTTAGATCATAATCGAATCAGCTGTCGTTCGTTGTTCATGAATTTCATATTCAACAATTTTCTTATATTTTATACTTACGTTTCTAATTATACAACTCAAGACAAGTTGAGATTTTAATATTTTTTTAAAAAAATGGCTTCAACATCTAAAATGAACCTTCGAGATACAAATAAAATTTATTTAATTAATTAAATGTAAAATCAAATCGTCGGCAGTAAGTTTCCATCAAATAAACAAGTACTATATGTTCTTTTTTATAATATGCGCGTGGTTAATTTAAATGTTCACGATAGTGCTTCATTAATGTATTTAATATACATTTATATATATGTATTAATATATATATATATGTATTTAATATAAATATAATGAAATCGAAATATTTTGCAAAAAACCAGAATACCTATTAAAAAAAAAGTCACTCCGTTAAAAAAATTGAACTATTATACAATGAATGGAGAAAATTACAAAAACACGCGACTAGAAAGTCATTATGAGACACAAGAAATGAAAAGGATTTTGTCAATAAGCTTAATGACTTATTTGATATCGCTCATTCTGACGTTTTAAACTTAAATAAAAAAAAAGTTGATTAACAATTTTTATTGGCTCAGAGGGAAAATGAAGGTTAGGCTTGTGAAATGAATCAACAAAATAAAAATTTAAATATAATCCAAAGAAAAAGAAAAACATACGATGAAATGGAAATTTTAGGTAATTAAAAAAATATCTTAAAATATTTCCAAAGTAGTAAGTCAACATATTTATTATTATAGATCATGTCGTTAACTCAGAAATGTTATATTCATCTTCAAACAGTTCTAATGAGTGTGATGAGACCGAAAAATTAATTGAAAAACCTAATCTTCCCCAATTTAGAGTTAAAAAAAATATTTTAACCGACAAACTTGCTACTGCATTTGATAGGTGTAAGATAAGCGACAGAGGCGCTGTTCATATATTAAAGGCAACTGCGGATCGTTCGGTCGAATTTAATTTTCTATACATTTTTAATTCGACATATTTTCCATTATTTACTATTAAAATCCTACAATTTTTTTTAAAACTACTTTGGAAATACCTTTATCTTTTGGTTCATAAACAATTATATTTTTATTAAATTGTAAATCAAAATTTGGCGCTAATGTAGCATTTGGCGCACTAAACCATTTTTTAATATATAAACTTAATAATACATAATGAACGAATATTATTTAACTCTTTGATTGAAAATTCAAATTGGCCCCTAAACAAAAAAATTTTCAAACCATAAATGGCCTTGGCCATCCAACAAGCATGATGGATTGAGTCAGGAATTTTAAAATAAATTCCATTCAAAGGTGTTCACTAAAAAATATTATGCCAATTCTAAAAGTTCCTTATAGTCATTTCGAGGTTGGTATTTGTGGTGCGCGAGGCAGCTAGACCGTAGGACTGCTAGTTGTGCACCGCACTAAAATGCCGTTTTACCTTAAGCCTGTTTAAAAAACGTTATTATTGATGCGTGAGTGGGTCACCTAGGAGATGACGGCTAACTATACACCCAATAAGTAAACGAGAGTAGACAATAATTTAATAACAAATAATCACATATATTAGAAATTCCTCAGAGAGTATCTTAAATTTAAGGGGTAACGGGGGCCCCTTAATACTAGTGGCCGGCGAAGCGGCATAAAACAAATAGTTAATCTCAATTAAAACAAACAATAAATAACATTACAAATAATATAAACTCAGCTGAATAGATGAAGCTGTTGATGACGATGAGTGGACTGTATGAGATCTTGTGGTAATGGTGTCGAACATCTGAATATGACGAGTCAGAGTGTACATCCAGGCACGTAATGGCAGATGAGAACAGAATACGGCAATGATAATATTTAGTGATGGTCAGGGCCCTATCACTAGTGGCGTGCAAGGGCATGTAAACTTTGAGCACAAGGGTGCAATAAACAAATAAAAGAATAACGACGTACAATGGCGGAACAATTTACTATTCAAGCGAAGGCGCTTGCAACAGAAAAAAAGTGACACAAAAAACAATCGACTGACTGACTTACGACAATAAACTGTACACGGATGAAAACCGACACGGAGGTCATCGATTTGCCGTGATGGGTGGGCAAGGGGGTGAGTAAAGCAAAATGCTGATGATCAGCTGTCCCACGAAATAATATAATCAATGATCTTTGTAACAACTGATCAACTAGATCTTTCTAAAGGCGTTCTGCACCATACAGTATTTTTGTAATTGTTCAAAACTAAATTTCAAAATATCGTCTTTTTTTGTTTTTAATTTTTCTAAAATAACAGTATCCACTTAAGTAATTTGTTTTATTTATATTTTGCCGAGTCTTTTGGAATTTATAGAAAATAGGAATCAATAATTTAATACGTCTGGTCCAGATGACGTATTAAATTTTACTTTAAAAATCCAGCAAAGTGGGGTCACGGCATAGTGGAGACATTGCATAGTTGGGTCCAGTATAAATTTAATCCGACAGTGATTAAAATCACTATCATAAGAAACGCTTCGATGCAAATCTATTGATAGTGTTTCATTCTAAGAAATTGATGGATAATTACAAAAGCAATATCAACTTCTATTTCCTTAATTATACCCATATTAGTAATTCTTTTAATTATAAAGTATATAATTTTTAAAATTAATTGTTTTCAAATTATTATTGATTTTGGTTTTTAATATGTTAATAGTAATAATTTTGAAACTACTTTTTTTTGTCCTTTAAAGTGAAAGTTTTAATAAAAAAAAAGAAATGAATTTATTACCATAACTTTTAGCTCAACTAGCAAGTTTGAAATTGACATTATTAAATAGAAAAAAATGAAATTGTTAAGATTAATATTAAATTTTTGAGATAGACAAAAGAAACCACCCTTGAGGGGTTATTATTAACCCCTTTGGGACACGTCTTATAGTTGACCATTCGTCTCCAAATTTTGTACAGTTTATTTTTTTATGTATTTAAATAATTCTAGGGGGTAGCACTTAAAACTATTAAAAAAAAAAATCCTTTCATGTAGCTAAAGGTCCCCTAGTATACATTTTTAATACACGTTAATTTTATACACAATTTAGTAATCTAATTAATACAGCCATTCTTGTTAGCATAGTTGATTATCTCCAAAAAACCTCTTCGAGTAGCTTCATAAATGGTATTTATACTCCATGGACAATTATGTTCATGGGCATATTTTAAACAACGAAACTGACCTTTTGCAGCAGCAAGTCTTGTGGTGCCTTCATCCCATTTACATCCATTTTCATGGGCATATATTAAGCAACTTAAATTTCCGCGCATGGCAGCTGTAACTATTGTACCTTCATCCCAATTACATCCATTTTTATGAGCAAATTTCAGACAATCAATGCAACCACTTGCTACTGCTTCCCTTGTTGTACCCTCATCCCATTTACAACCGTTTTCATAGGCATATTTGATGCATTCTAATTGTCGATTGGCAGCAGCGCCTCTCATCGTACCTTCAGTCCAATTATATCCATGTTCATATGCATATTTTAAACAATCTAAATTACCATGTGCGGCAGCTGTATTTAATGTTTCTTCATGCCATGGACACTCATTTTCATGAGCATATTTTAAACAGTCTAAACAACCACTTGCTGCAGAAACTCTAGTTGTGTCATAATCCCATGGACATCCATTTTCATATGCAAATTTTAAGCAATCATAATACCCATAAAAAGCAGCAGATTTAGTTGTGCCAATTGCCCATTTGCATCTGTTTTCATGAGCATATTTTAATAATTCTAAATTGCCATAACTTGCAGCAACTTGTGTTGTTTTCTCATCACATGGACATCCATTTTCAAGGAGATAATTTAAAATTATTAAATTACCTCTATTAATAGCCGCAGTAAGTATACCATCATCCCATGGACAACCATTTTTGTGTGCATAATTTAAAATATCTAAATTAATATTCATTGCTGCTGTAACTATTGTTGTACCTTCAGCCCATTTGCAACCATTTTCATGAGCATATTTTAAAAATTTTAAGTTACCATAACTTGCAGCTACTTTTGTAGTACTTTCAGGCCATGGATATCCATTTTCATGTGCATATTTTAAAATTTCAAAATAACCATTATCGATAGCCACAGTAGTTATCCTATCATCTAATGGACATCCATTTTTATGTGCATATTTTAAAATTTCAAAATTACCATTCATGGCTGCTGTAACTATTGTATCTTTATCCCACTTGCAACCGTTTTCATGAGCATATTTTAAGAATTCTAAATTACCATAACTTGCAGCAACTTTTGTTGTTTTTTCAGGCAATGGAAATCCATTTTCATGTGCATATTTTAAAATTTTAAAATAACCATTATCTATAGCCACAGTAGTTATCCTATTGTCTAATGGACATCCATTTTTATGTGCATATTTTAATATATCTAAATTACCATTCATGGCTGCTGTAATTATTGTATCTTCATCCCACTTGCAACCGTTTTCATGAGCATATTTTAAGAATTCTAAATTACCATAACTTGCAGCAACTTTTGTTGTTTTTTCAGGCAATGGAAATCCATTTTCATGTGCATATTTTAAAATTTTAAAATAACCATTATCTATAGCCACAGTAGTTATCCTATTGTCTAATGGACATCCATTTTTATGTGCATATTTTAATATATCTAAATTACCATTCATGGCTGCTGTAATTATTGTATCTTCATCCCACTTGCAACCGTTTTCATGAGCATATTTTAAGAATTCTAAATTACCATAACTTGCAGCAACTTTTGTTGTTTTTTCAGGCAATGGAAATCCATTTTCATGTGCATATTTTAAAATTTTAAAATAACCATTATCTATAGCCACAGTAGTTATCCTATTGTCTAATGGACATCCATTTTTATGTGCATATTTTAATATATCTAAATTACCTTTCATGGCTGCTGTAATTATTGTATCTTCATCCCACTTGCAACCGTTTTCATGAGCATATTTTAAGAATTCTAAATTACCATAACTTGCAGCAACTTTTGTTGTTTTTTCAGGCAATGGAAATCCATTTTCATGTGCATATTTTAAAATTTTAAAATAACCATTATCTATAGCCACAGTAGTTATCCTATTGTCTAATGGACATCCATTTTTATGTGCATATTTTAATATATCTAAATTACCTTTCATGGCTGCTGTAATTATTGTATCTTCATCCCACTTGCAACCGTTTTCATGAGCATATTTTAAGAATTCTAAATTACCATAACTTGCAGCAACTTTTGTTGTTTTTTCAGGCAATGGAAATCCATTTTCACGTGCATATTTTAAAATTTTAAAATAACCATTATCTATAGCCACAGTAGTTATCCTATCGTCTAATGGACATCCATTTTTATGTGCATATTTTAAAATATCTAAATTACCTTTCATGGTTGCTGTAATTATTGTACCTTCATCCCATTTGCAACCGTTTTCATGAGCATATTTCAAAAATTCTAAGTTACCATAACTTGCAGCTACTCTTGTTGTTCCTTCAGGCCATGGAAATCCATTTTCATGTACATATTTTAAAATTTTAAAATAACCATTATTGATGGCCACAATAGTTATCCTATCATCCAACGGACATCCATTTTCATGTGCATATTTTAAAACTTCTAAATTACCATTCTTAGCTGCTGTAATTATTGTATCTTCATCCCACTTGCAACCGTTTTTATGAGCATATTTCAAAAATTTTAAATTACCATAACTTGCAGCTACTCTTGTTGTTCCTTCAGGCCATGGAAATCCATTTTCATGTGCATATTTTAAAATTTCAAAATAACCATTGTCGATAGCCACAGTAGTTATCCTATCATCTAATGGACATCCATTTTCATGTGCATATTTTAAAATTTCAAAATTACCCATCTTGGCTGCTGTAATTATTGTATCTTCATCCCATTTGCAACCGTTTTCATGAGCATATTTTAAAAATTCTAAATTACTATAACTTGCAGCTACTTTTGTTGTTTCTTCGGGCAATGGAAATCCATTTTCATGTGCATATTTTAAAATTTCAAAATAACCATTGTCGATAGCCACAGTAGTTATCCTATCATCTAATGGACATCCATTTTCATGTGCATATTTTAAAATTTCAAAATAACCCTTTTTTATGGCCACAATAGTTATCCTATCATCTAATGGACATCCATTTTGATGTGCATATTTTAAAATTTCAAAATTACCCTTCGTGGCTGCTATAATTATTGTTTCTCTATCCCATTTGCAACCGTTTTCATGAGCATATTTAAAAAATTCTACATTGCCATAACTTGCAGCCACTTTTGTTGTTCTTTCATGCCATGGAAATCCCTTTTTATGTGCATATTTTAAAATTTCTAAATTACCTCTTATAATAGCATCTATAATTATGTCATCATCAAATGGATATCCATTTTCGCAAACAAAATTTACACAATTTAAATTGCCACCTATTGCAGCATATTTAGTAATGTCTTCATCCCAGTGGCATCCATTTTCGCGTGCATATTTTAAACATTCAAAATGTCCATTTGCAGCAGCATAACTGGTTGTTTCTTCATTCCAACTGCAGTCATTTTCACGTGCATAGATTAAACATTCTAAATGCCCATTTAATGCAGCAGCTATCGTTGTGGTTACATCCCATGGACATCCATTTTCATGTGCATATTTTAAACATTCGAAATGTCCATTTTCAGCGGCATATCTGGTTGTTTCTTCATTCCAACTGCAGTCATTTTCATGTGCATAGATTAAACATTCTAAATGCCCATTTGATGCTGCACTTATCGTTGTGCTTACATCCCACGGACATCCATTTTCATGGGCATATTTTAAACATTCAAAATATCCATTATCAGCAGCATATTTTGTTGTTTGTGCATTCCAACTGCAGTCATTTTCATGTGCATAGATTAAACATTCTAAATGCCCATTTGATGCAGCATGTAGCGTTATACTTACATCCCATGGACATCCATTTTCATGTGCATATTTTAAACATTCTAGACGCCCATATACTGCTGCTGCAATCTTTATGCTTGAATCCCATGTACAATCAATTTCATGAGTAAATTTTAAACAATTTAAATTACCTCCTATAGCAGCATATCTAGTTATGTCTTTAACCCAGTGGCATCCATTTTCGCGTGCATATTTTAAACATTCGAAATGTCCATTTGCAGCAGCATATCTGGTTGTCCTTTCATTCCATGGGCATCCTTTTTCATGTGCATATTTTAAACATTCGAAATGTCCATTTGCAGCAGCTTCAGCAGTCGTATTTTCATCCCATTCACAATCACTTTCGTAAGCTAGTTTTAATGTTTCAATGTCACCAATTCTAGCAGCTTTTTCTATGGTACTGTTTTCAAATGGGCATATTTTTTTTTCACTCAAAGCTTTATTTAAAATACCTAAATGAGCATATTAATTGAATTATTATTATTATATTCAAATTTAATTAGATTACTTAAAATTATGTAATCAAGTGTATAGGATGCTTGAATTTTAGCCCTTCTCTATTTTCTTTAGTTATAAATATTTTTTTTGTATATGTTGCTAATTAACAAAAAAGTTTATTTTGGAAATTTAATAAAATTAAAAAAATTTTCAATTATAAATAAAAAAAATACTCTTACAATATTATTTTAAATATTGAAGTTTTCCAATATAATAATTCACGATAGTAGAATTATTTTGTATAATATTAGTATTTATTTATTGCATATAACAAAATACTACTTNTTACAATATTATTTTAAATATTGAAGTTTTCCAATATAATAATTCACGATAGTAAAATTATTTTGTATAATATTAGTATTTATTTATTGCATATAACAAAATACCACTTTGTTATATAACAAAGTAGTATTATTCATGTAATTACTTTTCAATATTATTCGGATATCGTTGTTATGTTGAATGGCTTAAAAGAGATTATTGGTAGCAATACTAATATTATTACATAAAACATATTGCTATCTTGATAAATACTAAAATTATTTATGAAGTTATCATCAAAATATACTTTGATACAGCCCCCTGTCGCTTCGTTATACATGATTCCTCGCGAATTGTGCCACCTTTATTAGTCGTCACCTTTCTATGAGTATTTGACTGACCAAAACTACGTGCCATTCGCCACGGTGTTATATCAAGCGAGTACTACATGACCTACTATGACCCACCACAAGTGATACGTTAAGTCTTCTTCACGTTGTAACAACGTCGAGGATGTACGCCACCGGCTCCGAACGTGTCGCACGACCAGACTCGATGAACCTATCAACACTTGCGCTCCATTGACAATCAACGCTGTTCAGTTTTTGACGCCTGAAGATCATGCCGGAAACCGCGTTGCCGTTGCCAGCGAAAGCGCCGCGAAGATTTATTTTACTATTTTATAACCATAATATGATAAGATAGCCCAATATAATGTTTTTAGATAATATAATTAGTTAACACTTGTTAAAATGATTTAGTAATTAAAAAAATTAAGATTTCAAAATTGGGTAATGATATAGGTACCCTCCTATGCCGGTAATTCCACATAAAATTATTTAAATGTTTCAGATATTAGATACAAGTTAAGAAATTTATTTAATAAACTATAATTGACTATTAATAAACATAAATAATATAAATCAAATTTACCTTCGTTAAATATCAAACATGAAATTATCATAAAAAAATATATCAATTGCCAATCCTAGAATAAAATAAAATTATCTTTTAGATTTCAATAAAGTACTTCAAAGAATGTGCATTACTCACCTTCATTTTACACTTCTTAATTTTACTTAAATATTATATTCTGAATAGCTAATGTAAATGTTTTTTATTTTATAAGTATATACATATATATAAAACTATCTGACATGATTTATTATTTTATAAAATTCTTCAGTTTAAAAACATTATTTACTTAATTATTTTAGTCAAACTATTCATATACATGTAAAAAAAGGGCCAAATCATAATTGATATAAGCACATTTTTAATTTAATAAAATGTGTTTTTTCAATGTTATTTTATTTATTATAAATATAGTATAAATTATGTTCAATGTTATATTACGCACTATATGTGAAAAAAAAATTGTATTGACTATTTGTACTCTATGCATAAATAGTACTTGAAGTTAGAATTAGTTGAATTGAAGTTTGAATTTCTTATGCTTATATTTTAACTAAAACGGTATTGTCTTAAAGGAAGGGAAAGGTACCCCATTTAACCATCCTCTCTTTTACATTATAAATTAAAATCACTATCATAAGAAAGGCTTCGATGCAAGTCTGTTGTTGGGTTTAATTCTAGAAATTGGTGGATGATTACAAAAGCAACTCTTTTTCCCTAAATTTTATTCTGATTAGATATTTGATTTTTAATTATAATATATAAATTTATTTAATAGTCAATTGATATTCAATAATTTAATATTGTAATATTTACGGAGATATTATAAAAATAATAAAGTAGTTGTATTTTTCTTTACATTTAACGCATATAAAAATTTATAAGGCCTGATGCAATACCTTTCAATAAAAAATGTTACTTATAACAAAATTATAAGTTGTATACACTGGACTACAAGGAACTTTCATCAGAAACAAAAAATATACTTTTCTAAATCAACTTTTGGAGATGTTTTCAATTAGACGTTTTCTATCACTTCTAAGTTTTCATATTATTCATTTTTATTAAAAAATAAGTATTAACACAAAAAAAAATATAATTAAGAACAAAAACAATTGTTTTAAAATAATATTGATTTTGATTATTAATATGTTGAAAATAAGGAAAATGCCATATTTAACCTATTTTTTTAATCGTTTCAAGTTGATTTTTGTGAATGTTTATAATAAAAAAAAATTTTATTTATTTTACCAAAACTTTTAGCTCAAATGGCAAGTTTGAAATTGACATAATTAATTAGAAAATTTTGTGATAATTAAAAAATTGTATCCTTAAGATTAGTATGCAGTTAGGAAGTCTTATAAATACTATTTATAGTAAATTTATCAGAGTAGCTAAATATTATTTGCACTTGTATCGTAGAGATAACTTAAATAGAAGTAATAGTAATCATTTCCTACACCCAGAGAAAAACCTCGATCTATATAATAAATTCATTGTTCGATTTGACACGGTACCGTGTTTCCCTCAGTTGCACATCATCTTATCAACCTAAATGAAAGTGTATCGGGATCTGAATCATAAGTGCACGGTGGCCTAGTGGTAAGGTTTGTATATACGACGCCTTGGGTCGCGGGTTCTAATCCCGTACCGTGCCTCTTTTTTTCACATGATTTCCGGTACATTTTCTATAACCGACCGTCAATCCCCGGCGGCCGTGTTATCTGGTGACCAACGTGGGGATGATAACGTTCGGAATACTCACTGTGGGGCGTGTAGCGGTCAGTCCCTCCCACCAGTAGAATTCCGAGGGGGTCACTATCATTTAACCCCCTTGTAGGGCTTGGGGGGGAGTATGACACGGTACTGTGTTTTCCTCAGATAGTTTTTTTAGCTTCGATGCGAAGCTGAGAAGGTATTGGTTTTACTAAGATGTGTTTATTTTTTTTTGTGTCTGTTATCACTTTTTCTCAACTCTCACCGAACCGATTTCTTTCAATGATACGTCAAAAGATCACAAATCGTATCTAGTCGAAGACATTACTCTTAAAAAATTCCCTCGTTCCACGTAAATGGGGGAAACATCCAAAAAAATTACAAATTTAAAAATCGCTAATTTTCGAAATTTTTTCAATTTTTTTTTACTTAAAAGTGCCATAACTTTTTCAAAAATGAATATATCAATATAATTCTTTTTTATATTGATGCATAATATCATTTCATTTGGTATATTTTTTTCATAAATTTAACCCTTGACCTGTTCACAAGGGGGGATTTAAAATGACAACTTTTTCACAAAAAATTAACTTTTTTAACTTAACTTTTGAAAATATTTTGTAAGGTCTGACACTTTTATATATATATCTTAAATTAAAGCTAATGTAATTTACTTTATTATGCAAAAAAAAAATTTCGGACTTTATTTTATCTTCACGGTGAAAATGGCTACCGAATGCTATTATTGTGTGAAAATTCTCGATTTTATTTTTTACATTTTTAACTTTATAATGCTATGACATATTGAAAAGTGTATGGATCAACATTATTTTTTTATGAGAAATAATATTTTTTAATAATCCCTTTTTCATTCGACATACTTTATCTTAATTAGGATATTAATAATGAACTAGCAGATCATGTAGCTTTTGGAATAATCCACCAATTTTTTAAAATTAAACACTATCTAAAGATTTGCATCGAAGCGTTTTTTTTTTATAGTGATTTTAATCACTGTCAGATATCATTATACTTGATCCATCTATGCCACGTCCCTCTGTGCTGGGTTTTTTCTATTTAATAATGTCAATTTCAAACTTGCAATTTGAGCTAAAAGTTATGGTAATAAATTAATTTTTTTTTTATTAAAACTTCCACTTTAAAGGACAAAAAGAATTAGGTTCAAAATGATTACTTTTAACATATTAAAAATCAAAATCAATAATAATTTGAAAACAATTAATTTTAAAAATTATATAATATATAATTAAAAGAATTGCTAATCTGGGTATAATTAAGGAATTGGAAGTTGATGTTGCTTTTGTAGTTATTCATCAATATACCGCGACCTCATTGTGCTGGATTTTTTTTATATATCTCTTGCCACTTTTTCTCAGCCCTAACTGGACCGATTTCTTTCAACAATACGTCAAAACATCACAAATCGTATCTAGATGAAGACAGTACCCTTAAAAATTGAAAAAATTTCCCACGTTCCCTGCAAATGGGAGAAATCTCCAAAAAAATTACAAATTTAAAAATCGGTAAATTTTTTCTTTTTTTCACTTTTTTTTCTTAAAACTTTCATAACTTTTTCAAAAATTAACAAATCAACAAAATTTTTTTTTATACTAAAACATTAGATAATTTCCTTTAATTTGATATCATTTTTTTTGAAAATTTAACACATAATCTGCTCATTGCAGCAGGGATTTAAAATAGCAATTTTTTTACAAAAACTAAATTTTTTAACTTAATTTTTGAAAATGTTCCGGAAATACTGCATTTTTTAAACATATATCAAACTAAAGCTTATTTTATATACTATAAAATGAAAAAAAAAATGTATCATCGAAGCGTTTCTTATGATAGCGATTTTAATCGCTGACAGATTAAATCTATATTGGACACAACTATGCAATATCCTCACTATGCCAGGACCCTACTGTGCTGGGGGTTTTTTTTTTTGTCTGTCACTACTTTTTCTTAGCTCTCACTGAACCGATTTTTCTCAACAATACGTCAAAGATCACAAATCGTTTCTAGTTGAAGAAATTACACTCAAAAATTGAAAATGTTGGCCTCATTCTCCATAAATAGTGAAATTCCACTAAAAATTTACTATTAAAATGGTTAATTTCGACATTTTTTTTCTAAAAATTGCTACATTTATTGATAATTTATAAAAAAAATGTCTTTATACGATTTGACCTTATATAAATAAGAAATACGATTTTTATCTACACATTTTTCTACTGCATTGCATAAAAAATTTAATGTAAAATCATTTTAGAATTATCCGTATAATCCGTAACGTCGAAGTACCGATCAACACCCGCACAACGACGCCATCATCGCTGCTAACCTTTTAACGCCTGAGGATCACGCCGAACATCACATCGTCAACGCCAGCTCATCATAAACGGCCCACGGGTCTCTACCCTCAAAACCAGTATCGAACATATTTTTTCGACGTAATTCGAGTCAATTTTTTATATACTTATTAATTTTATACATATTTATTGTTGTTTATAAATAAATTATAAAAATTTGTAAAATGTAACATTTATGTCACTACTTATAAACATTTTTTTTTATATTTATTGTATATTGAACATTAATTACATGATTGAAAAATCCAGACATTTATAATTCAGATTTTTGGTTATAAATTCAAAAATAGTATTTATTAAGCATACAAAATTACATGATTGTTCTCAATATACGTAATTATTATCATTTTAGCTCATGACGATTTATTTAAAATATAATGTTATGAAATATAAAATATAAATAATATTTTATAAGTAATCTAATTAATACAGCCATTCTTGTTAGCATAGTTGATTATCTCTAAAAAACCTCTTTGAGTAGCTTCATGAATGGTATTTATACTCCAAGGACAATTATGTTCATGGGCGTATTTTAAACAATTAAACTGACCATTTGCAGCAGCAAGTCTTGTGGTGCCTTCATCCCATTTACATCCATTTTCATGAGCATATATTAAGGAACTTAAATTTCCCCGCATGGCAGCTGTAACTATTGTACCTTCATCCCAATTACATCCATTTTTATGAGCAAATTTTAGACAATCAATGCAACCACTTGCAACTGCTTCCCTTGTTGTACCATCATCCCATTTACAACCATTTTCATAGGCATATTTGATACATTCTAATTGTCGATTGGCAGCAGCGCCTCTCATCGTACCTTCAGTCCAATTATATCCATGTTCATATGCATATTTTAAACAATCTAAATTACCATGTGCGGCAGCTGTATTTAATGTTTCTTCATGCCATGGACNCCGTATTTAATGATTCTTCATGCCATGGACACTCCTTTTCATGAGCATATTTTAAACAGTCTAAACAACCACTTGCTGCAGAAACTCTAGTTGTGTCATAATCCCATGGACATCCATTTTCATGTGCATATTTTAAAATTTCAAAATTACCATTCATGGCTGCTGTTACTATTATACCTTCATACCGTTTGCAATCGTTTTCAAATGCATATATTAAGATTTCTAAATTACCATAACTGGCAGCAGCTTGTGTTGTATTTTCATCACACGGACATCCATTTTCAATTAGATATTTCAAAATTTTTAAACTACTTCTATTAATAGCCACAGTAAGTATACCGTCATCCCATGGACAACCATTTTTATGTGCATATTTTAAAATTTCAAAATTATCATTTATGACTGATGTAACTATTGTACCGTCATCCCATGGACAACCATTTTCATGAGCATATTTTAAAAATTCTAAATTACCATAATTTGCAGCTAATTTTGTTGTTCCTTCAGGCCATGGATATCCATTTTCATGTGCATATTTTAAAATTTTAAAATAACCATTTTCGATAGCCACAGTAGTTATCCTATCATCTAATGGACATCCATTTTCATGTGCATATTTTAAAATTTCAAAATTACCATTTATGGCTGCTGTAACTATTGTATCTTCATCCCATTTGCAACCGTTTTTATGAGCATATTTCAAAAATTCTAAGTTACCATAATTTGCAGCTACTGTTGTTGTTCTTTCAGGCCATGACAATCCATTTTTATGTGCATATTTTAAAATTTTAAAATAACCATTATCTATAGCCACAGTAGTTATCCTATCATCTAATGGACATCCATTTTCATGTGCATATTTTAAAATTTCAAATTTACCTTTCATGGCTGCTGTAACTATTGTATCTTCATCCCATTTGCAACCGTTTTCATGAGCATATTTTAAAAATTCTAAATTACCATAATTTGCAGCTACTTTTGTTGTTCCTTCAGGCCATGGAAATCCATTTTCATGTACATATTTTAATATTTTAAAATAACCATTATCAATAGCTACATTAATGATCCTATCATCTAATGGACATCCATTTTCATGTGCATATTTTAAAATTTCATATTTACCTTTCATGGCTGCTGTAACTATTGTATCTTCATCCCATTTGCAACCGTTTTCATGAGCATATTTTATAAACCATAATATGCCATATCTTGCAGCTGCTTTTGTTGTTCCTTCAGGCCATGGAAATCCATTTTTATGTGCATATCTTAAAATTTCAAAATATCCATTATCCACAGCCACATTAGTTATCGTATCATCTAATGGACATCCGTTTTTATGTGCATATTTTAAAATGTCTAAATCACCATTATTGATAGCCACAGTAGTTATCCTATCATCTAAAGGACATCCATTTTTATGTGCATATTTTAAAATTTTAAAATGGCAATTCACGGCAGCATTAACTAATGTACCTTCATCCCATTTGCAACCGTTTTCATGAGCATATTTTAAAAAATCCAATTCATCTATTCTTGCTGCTACGTTTGTTGTTCCTTCAGGCCATGGAAATCCATTTTCATGTGCATATTTTAAAATTTCTAAATTGCCTCTTATAATAGCTTCTATAATTATGTCCTCATTAAATGGATGTCCATTTTCGCGAGCAAAATTTACACAATTTAAATTACCACCTATAGCAGCATCACTAGTTATGTCTTCATTCCAGTGGCATCCATTTTCGCGTGCATATTTTAAACATTCGAAATGTCCGTTCAAAGCAGCATTACTGATTGTTTCTTCATTCCAACTGCAGTCATTTTCATGTGCATAGATTAAACATTCTAAATGCCCATTTGTTGCAGCAGCTATCGTTGTGGTTACATCCCACTGACATCCATTTTCATGTGCATATTTTAAACATTCATAATGTCCATTCAAAGCAGCTTTACTTGTGGTTGTTTTATTCCATCTGCAGTCATTTTCATGTGCATAGATCAAACATTTTAAATGCCCATTTGTTGCAGCAGCTATCGTTGTGGTTACATCCCACGGGCATCCATTTTCATGTGCATATTTTAAACATTCATAATGGCCATTCAAAGCTGCTTTTCTTGTTGTTTCTTCATTCCAACTGCAGTCATTTTCATGTGCATAGATCAAACATTCTAAATGCCCATTTGTTGCAGCATATATCGTTGTCCTTTCATCCCATGGACATCCATTTTTATGTGCATAGATCAAACATTCTAAATGCCCATTTTCAGCAGCATATTGCGTTGTTCTTACATTCCATGGATATCCANTTTAGCGTTGTGCTTACATTCCATGGATATCCATTTTCATGAGCATATTTTAGGCATTTTAAATTACCATAACTGGCAGCAGCTTGTGTTGTTTTTTCATCACATGGACATTTATTTTCAAGTAAATAATTTAAAATTTTTAAACTACTTTTTTTAATAGACGCAGTAAGTATATCGTCATCCCATGGACATCCATTTTCATGTGCATACTTTAAACATTCATAATGTCCATTCAAAGCAGCTTTTCTTGTTGTTTCTTCATTCCAACTGCAGTCATTTTCATGTGCATAGATCAAACATTCTAAATGTCCATTTTCAGCAGCGTCTCTTGTTGTTTCTTCATTCCAACTGCAGTCATTTTCATGTGCATAGATTAAACATTCTAAATGTCCATTTCCAGCAGCGTCTCTTGTTGTTTTTTCATCCCAGCTACAGCCATTTTCATGAATATATTTTAAGGTTTCTAAATTACCATAACTAGCGGCTGCTCTTGTTGTGTCTTCATTCCAGCTACAGCCATTTTCATGGGCATATTTTAAACATTCGAAATGTCCATTTGCAGCAGCTTCAGAAGTCGTATCTTCATCCCATTCACAACCACTCTCGTAAGCTAGTTTTAATGTTTCTATGTCACCAATTTCAGCAGCATATTCTGTGGTACCGTCTTCAAACGGGCATATTTTTTTTTCATCCAAATTTTTATTTAAAATACCTAAATGCGCATATTAATTGAATTTTTATTATTATATTCAAATTTAATTAGATTCATAAAATTTTGTAATCAAGTGTCTAATATGCCTAAATTTTAGCCCTTCTCTATTTTCTTTAGTTATATATATTTTGTTTGAATATATTCCTATTAAACAAAAAGTTAATTTGAAGTAACGATAGTAGAATTATTTTGTATAATAGTAGATTGTTGATTGCAATAAGTGATGGGCATTTTCAAATATTTTAAACTATATGTTAGTATTCGACCAGGCCTACTATAAGTATTTGACTGACCAACACCACGTGCCATACGTCACGGTGCAATGTCCCGCGAGTCCTGCAAGGCCGACTACGTCCCGCCGTAAATTATACGTTAAGTCTTCTTCCCGTTGTCTAAGTGACAACGTCGAGGGTGTACGCCACCGGCTCTGAACGTGTCGCACGACCAGACTCGATGAACCTATCAACACCTGCGCTCCATTGATAATCAACGCTGTTCAGTTTTGACGCCTGAAGATCATGCCGTTAACTGCGTCGCCAATGCCAGCGAAAGCGCCGCGAAGAATATTATTATATTATAATAATTATTTATATTTTTTTTCTAACCATTTTAAGTTAAGATAGCCTAATATACCGTTTTTAGATAATATTATTAGTTAACACCTGTTAAAATTATCTAGTAATTAAAAATTTCATAAAAATTTCAAAATCGGGTAATGATATAGGCACCCTTCTTTACCGTTAATTCCACCTAAATTTTTTTAAATTGTTTCACATATTAGTTATTAATTAAGAAATTTATTTGATAAACTTTAATAGACATAAATATTATAAAATAAAATTTACCTTCGTTAAATATCAAACATGAAATTGTCATAAAAAAATATATCAATTGCCAGTTCTAAATTGCCAGAATAAAATAAAATTATCTTTTAGATTTCAATAAAGTACTTCAAAGAATGTGCATTACTCACCTTCATGTTACGCCTCTTAATTTTACTAAATATTATATTCTGAATAACTAATAGCATTTCTTTATTTAAATAGGTGTATATATAAAAAAATTATCGGCCATAATGTGTTATTTTATTATATTCTTTAGTTTAAAAACATTATTTACTTAATTATTTTAGTCAAACTATTCATATACATGTAAAAAAAGGGCCAAATCATAATTGATATAAGCACATTTTTAATTTAATAAAATGTATATTTATATTTATTATAAATACAGTAGAACTCCAATTATCCGAACTCCAATTATCCGAACTCCGACCATCCGAATCGCCGATTATCCGAATCACTTTCAGAAAAAATCAGAAAAAAATTTGTCCAAAGTCCGCGGCGTCAGTGTAGGCACAACACGTGGTAAGAGTTCCCACTCCAGTTCCGGCGCATTGCAGTCACCTGTCATTGTTTGTTTTGATTAGTCAGTGTGCTAAATTGACCTTGCTCGAGAACGCTACTCTTTCGCTACGGCTTACTTTTGTTTGTGCGTGTACTGTATTGTTTTTTACCATGGCTTCGAAAAGAAAACGTGTTGTGCTATCGTTAGCGGACAAACTGAAAATTATAGAGCAACTCGATAAAGGTGTAACGGGTAAGAAGTTGTCTGAGATTTATGGTGTTGGACAAGCAACAATTTGTGACATTAAAAACAGTAAGTCAACACTTTTAAACTTTGTTTCGGTGCTTGAAAATGAAGATGGAAGTTCCTCCAGGAAAACAATGAAGACAGCAACCAACAAAAATTTGGAAGATGCCGTGTTTAAATGGTTTTTGCAGCAACGTTCTATGGGAAATCCGATTTCAGGTCCAATCCTTTGTGAAAAAGCCAAAATCTTAGCAGAAAAGCTTGGTTATTCCTCTTTTAAGGCATGTAACGGCTGGCTAAGGAACTTTAAATTCAGGCATGGTGTACGCGAGTTAGATTTGGCTGGTGAGAAGCTTTCAGCAGACTCTGCAACTGCTGAAAATTTTATTGAAAAATTTAAAACTGCAGCATCATCCTATGATCCGGAGTTTGTTTATAATGCCGATGAAACTGGCCTTGTTTGGAAAGCATTACCAAAAACCACTTTGGCTTCTAAAAGGGAATCTAGTGCCCCTGGACATAAGGTCAGTAAAGAACGTGTTACAGTGCTTAACTGTGCCAACTCCGCTGGAAATCATAAACTACCACTTCTTTTGATAGGAAAATCAAAAAATCCAAGAGCATTTAAAAACGTAAAAAAACTTCCACTCTTCTACAAAAGTCAACCCAAGGCCTGGATGACTGCAGCTTTGTTTACCGAATGGTATGATGAAGTGTTTATTCCTGAAGTGAAAAAGCACCAAAAATCGGTGGGAAAAGAAGGCAGTAAGGTGCTTTTAATTGTTGATAACGCACCCACTCATCCTATAGCAGATCTGTTGGAAAGAGAGAATGGGCAGTTTAAAACGACGTTTTTGCCTCCCAATGTTACAAGTTTGCTGCAACCCATGGACCAGTCTGTTATTGAAACAATGAAGCGCCATTATAGAAGGCAACTACTGAGAAAACTGCTGATCGAAGGTACTGAAGATGAAGAATTGGTTTTGGCAAATCATAGCAAAATAAATTTAAAGGACTGCTGTTACATGGTAGCGGAAGCTTGGAGTTTGGTTACGGCAGTGACGCTAAGACGTGCGTGGAATAAACTGAAAGGCCTAATGTCTGAGAAGAACAAAGAAGAAAATGGAGAGGATGAAGATGATGAAGATGCGTTGCCACTAGAGGAAATAAGAAAAATGATTGTAAAAATTCCTGGTTGTACAGAAGTAAGTGCTGAAGATGTAGGAGAGTGGATGGCTTGTGACACGTCTGACCCTGGTTTTCAAATTCTCAATGACGATGAAATTGTTGAAAGTGTGAGAGAAGATGTTGAAGTGGAAGTGGAAGAAGAACTTTCGCTTGATGTTGAAGTAGACGCTGGACCATCAGCTAGTGAAGCATTTGCCGGCCTCGAGACTGCTTTGAAGTGGATGGAGCGTCAGCCCGAGTGTGACCACTTGCAACTGCTCACCGTCAAGCGAATGCGTGACCTGGCTGCCCGAAAACGGATGAAGACCGCAAAACAGCTTACATTGACGGAGATGTTTAAAAAACAATGATTTTTATTTCTAAACTTGTAAGTACATTTTATTTATATTTAAAACATGTGAAAATATCATGTTTCTTTCATTTAATTCAATAAAAAAATAGTGCAATATCAAAACGTAGCGTTTTTTCTCTCCAATGGCAATTTTTTAAAAAAAAAACTCCGATTATCCGAATATTTGATTATCCGAATGGGTCCCGGTCCCCATTAATTCGGATAATTGGAGTTCTACTGTATAGTATAAATTATGATCAATGTTATGTTGCGCACTTCAAATAAAAAAATAAATTTTACTGACTACTTGTATTTTATATGTAAATAGTACTTTAAGTTAGAAAGAAATGCCTTTTGTGTAAAAATTTCACTGATTTTTGTGTTTTTATAATTTTTATGCTTATATTTTAAGTTAAACAGTATTGTCTTAAAGGAAGCAAAGGTACCCCATTTAACCACTCCATCTTTTTTAAGATTTAAAATTGAGTTATCAATTTTTGACAGCTTTAATTTAGTTTTAGTTTTAGTTTTAGTTATTATTGAGGTGGACATAATGCCCATGCACTCAGACCTGTTGGTCCATTGTGCGCACCTCATACCGAATTGTCTTGATTCGGTTTACCCACCTAAGTGTTATCACCAAAGTGTTAATACATTACCAACCATAAAGTCACCTCTAGAGATGACCAAAGAGTCCTGTCTTTCTGGCGAAATTAAGTATCTCTCTGGGTTTTAGGTTTTTAATATCCTCTTTTTCAGGAAATGGTTTATTCAAGTAGTTTGATCTTAGTGTGGACAAGGCTTCACATTCGCACATGATGTGAAATGAGTCTTCCTCTTCTACTCCACATTTTCTGCACAATGGTGATTCCGATACCCCCATTGCGTTAAGATGCTTAAGCAGGTGACCATGTCCTGTCAGTAGACCAGTCAGGGTGCTTATTTGATGTCTAGTCATGCTATTAAGATCACCCAGCAATAAACCAGGGGTCTTGATAAACATTTTAGATTGTCTAGGTACTACCAAGTACTTCCAGATTTTCCTGTGTTGTTCTCTGCACCAATTCTTNGGTTTTCCTGTGTTGTTCTCTGCACCAATTCTTGGGTAACGCTTTGAGCGATTGCTCAGTGAGCCCTACCACTAGTTCTGGTCCAACATAGGTGTTCTCTGCTCCTTTCCTGGCTAGAAAGTCAGC